AAGTCAGATGATGGTCAGTTTGTATATGAAACATATGTAGTGTAATTAATGCCAATCATTTCTTAAAATTGAATACCTGCTATGTTGATCAGATCAGATTTCAGATCAGATCAGATCGGATTATATTTCAGATCAGATCAGATTTAATTCGAATCTGATCTGTTCTGTTCTGTTCGGATCCTTAGCTACTAATAAAGAGAGTTTCAACCAGAAACCTTATTCCGATTTATATGTTAGTTTCCCATGATTTATAATTTACTATTTTACAATGCTTCTGTCTGTATTATCCTATTATCATAGCTATGAACAAGAAGCATCTCAACCTGCTCTTCGTGGTTAATGACTTCATGTAAATTTTTAGCAAAAAATAACTTACATTCATTATATGTTAGCCAAAGATGGGGAAAATTGATTGCTGTAAATTTTCAATTATCCTTTAAATGGTCAAAGGGTTGATATATCGACCCTTTACATATAAACCACCCCAAATATAGTTCTGAGTGTATCACTTCCTAATATGAAAATGCTCTTTAGGTGTATAGAGAGCTTTTTACAATTTTATTTGCATAAAATTTTGTATCATATATACATAACTTTCCTTTTTTTCTTTTAGCTTAAAATAAGTGATATAATTTATATTAAAATTAAAAAAACCTCTCTATAGGGGCATTGCCCTATCCTTGTAATATATTTTAAACTTAATTTGGAATGTGTGACTCTGTTCTTTAAAGAGTTATTTTCATTCAAAGTTTACTATTAAAAAAAAGACTGATGAAAAATCCTTCTTAATAAAAATTTATATATGTGATCGACTATGTTTGTAAATCATATGATGTGGGACACCCCATTGGGATATTCTGTTATTTTTTAGCAGGCTTGAATAATAAGTTTATTAATGGCATCAAAGCAGAAATAGGTTATATGTTGGTGCATCAACATCAGCAATTGAAACATTTGCAGGAGCTGAAATAAGTATTAGGTATGAAACAGTTATAAAACATAAAAAAAGGAATGAATTAATTTACTCTGAGACAGTTGGAGAATTTGTTTCAGAACACAAAAGCATTAATATATATTATATATTTATCTGAATTGTTATTATAATTGTATTAACCATATCAAGAATAATGTCAATGGGCAGATGGATAATTTAATGATTCTTAATTTGGATGATTATCACAATATTCATACAAAGAGACATGCCTTCAAAACAATTCCATTGAAAGCAGCACCTAGGATTCCAGCTCCTCCTTTTAACAACCCATTTACAGATAAGGATATTCACAACAAGGCATTGATCATAATCTTATCCCTTAAACGGTCACATTAATAAATTTCGGATTTTTTAATGGAACACAAAATTTAAAAATTGAATGTAGCACGAAAATTTAATTGACGTTTTTAAATCACCTAATTC